GTGTCACTTGGCTTGGCCCCCAGGACCAGTGTCACTTGGCTTGGCCCCCAGGACCAGTGTCACTTGGCTTGGCCCCCAGGACCAGTGTCACTTGGCTTGGCCCCCAGGACCAGTGTCACTTGGCTTGGCCCCCAGGACCAGTGTCACTTGGCTTGGCCCCAAGGACCAGTGTCACTTGACTTGGCTCCAGGACCAGTGTCACTTGGCTTGGCCCCCAGGACCAGTGTCACTTGGCTTGGCCCCCAGGACCAGTGTCACTTGGCTTGGCCCCCCGGGCCAGTGTCACTTGGCTTGGCCCCCAGGACCAGTGTCACTTGGCTTGGCCCCCAGGACCAGTGTCACTTGGCTTGGCCCCCAGGACCAGTGTCACTTGGCTTGGCCCCCAGGACCAGTGTCACTTGGCTTGGCCCCCAGGACCAGTGTCACTTGGCTTGGCCCCCAGGACCAGTGTCACTTGGCTTGGCCCCCAGGACCAGTGTCACTTGGCTTGGCCCCCAGGACCAGTGTCACTTGGCTTGGCCCCCAGGACCAGTGTCACTTGTCTTGGCCCCCAGGACCAGTGTCACTTGGCTTGGCCCCCCGGGCCAGTGTCACTTGGCTTGGCCCCCAGGACCAGTGTCTCTTAGCTTGGCCACCAGGACCAGTGTCACTTAGCTTGGCCACCAGGACCAGTGTCACTTAGCTTGGCCACCAGGACCAGTGTCACTTAGCTTGGCCACCAGGACCAATGTCACTTAGCTTGGCCACCAGGATCAGTGTCACTTGGCTTGGCCCCCCGGGCCAGTGTCACTTGGCTTGGCCCCCAGGACCAGTGTCACTTGGCTTGGCCCCCAGGACTTGGCCCCCAGGACCAGTGTCACTTGGCTTGGCCCCCAGGACCAGTGTCACTTGGCTTGGCCAGTGTCACTTGGCTTGGCCCCCAGGACCAGTGTCACTTGGCTTGGCCCCCAGGACCAGGACCAGTGTCACTTGGCTTGGCCCCAGGACCAGTGTCACTTGGCTTGGCCCCCAGGACCAGTGTCACTTGGCTTGGCCCCCAGGACTTGGCTTGGCCCCCAGTGTGTCACTTGGCTTGGCCAGTGTCCAGGACCAGTGTCACTTGGCTTGGCCCCAGGACCAGTGTCACTTGGCTTGGCCCCCAGGACCAGTGTCACTTGGCTTGGCCCCCAGGACCCACTTGTCTTGGCCCCCAGGACCAGTGTCACTTGGCTTGGCCCCCAGACCAGTGTCACTTGTGGCCCCCAGGACCAGTGTCACTTGGCTTGGCCCCCAGGACCAGTGTCACTTGGCTTGGCCCCCAGGACCAGTGTCACTTGGCTTGGCCCCCAGGACCAGTGTCACTTGGCTTGGCCCCCAGGACCAGTGTCACTTGGCTTGGCCCCCAGGACCAGTGTCACTTGGCTTGGCCCCCAGGACCAGTGTCACTTGGCTTGGCCCCCAGGACCAGTGTCACTTGGCTTGGCCCCAGGACCAGTGTCACTTGGCTTGGCCCCCAGGACCAGTGTCACTTGGCTTGGCCCCCAGGACCAGTGTCACTTGGGACTTGGCCCCCCCCAGGACCAGTGTCACTTGGCTTGGCCCCCAGGACCAGTGTCACTTGGCTTGGCCCCCAGGACCAGTGTCACTTGGCTTGGCCCCCAGGACCAGTGTCACTTGGCTTGGCCACCAGGACCAGTGTCACTTGGCTTGGCCCCCAGGACCAGTGTCACTTGTCTTGGCCCCCAGGACCAGTGTCACTTGGCTTGGCCCCCAGGACCAGTGTCACTTGGCTTGGCCCCCAGGACCAGTGTCACTTGTCTTGGCCCCCAGGACCAGTGTCACTTGTTGGCCCCAGGACCAGTGTCACTTGGCTTGGCCCCCAGGACCAGTGTCACTTGGCTTGGCCCCCAGGACCAGTGTCACTTGGCTTGGCCCCCAGGACCAGTGTCACTTGGCTTGGCCCCCAGGACCAGTGTCACTTGGCTTCACACTTGACTTGGCCCCCAGGACCAGTGTCACTTGGCTTGGCCCCCAGGACCAGTGTCACTTGGCTTGGCCCCCAGGACCAGTGTCACTTGACTTGGGACCCACTTGGCTTGGCCCCCAGGACCAGTGTCACTTGGCTTGGCCCCCAGGACCAGTGTCACTTGTCTTGGCCCCCAGGACCAGTGTCACTTGTCTTGGCCCCCAGGACCAGTGTCACTTGGCTTGGCCCCCAGGACCAGTGTCACTTGGCTTGGCCCCCAGGACCAGTGTCACTTGTCTTGGCCCCCAGGGCCAGTGTCACTTGGCTTGGCCCCCAGGACCAGTGTCACTTGGCTTGGCCCCCAGGACCCAGTGTCACTTGGCTTGGCCCCCAGGACCAGTGTCACTTGTCACTTGCTTGGCCCCCAGGACCAGGACCAGTGTCACTTGGCTTGGCCCCCAGGACCAGTGTCACTTGGCTTGGCCCCCAGGACCAGTGTCACTTGGCTTGGCCCCCAGGACCAGTGTCACTTGACTTGGCCCCCAGGACCAGTGTCACTTGTCTTGGCCCCCAGGACCAGTGTCACTTGGCTTGGCCCCCAGGACCAGTGTCACTTGGGCCCCAGGACCAGGTCACTTGACAGTGTCACTTGGCTTGGCCCCCAGGACCAGTGTCACTTGGCTTGGCCCCCAGGACCAGTGTCACTTGGCTTGGCCCCCAGGACCAGTGTCACTTGGCTTGGCCCCCAGGACCAGTGTCACTTGGCTTGGCCCCCAGGACCAGTGTCACTTGGCTTGGCCCCCAGGACCAGTGTCACTTGGCTTGGCCCCCAGGACCAGTGTCACTTGGCTTGGCCCCCAGGCCCAGTGTCACTTGGCTTGGCCCCCAGGACCAGTGTCACTTGGCTTGGCCCCCAGGACCAGTGTCACTTGACTTGGCCCCCAGGACCAGTGTCACTTGACTTGGCCCCCGGGCTAGTGTCACTTGGCTTGGCCCCCAGGACCAGTGTCACTTGACTTGGCCCCTAGGACCAGTGTCACTTGACTTGGCCTCTAGGATCAGTGTCACTTGACTTGGCCCCCAGGACCAGTGTCACTTGACTTGGCCCCCAGGACCAGTGTCACTTGACTTGGCCCCAGGACCAGTGTCACTTGGCTTGGCCACCAGGACCAGTGTCACTTGGCTTGGCCCCAGGATCCAGGAGGACCAGTGTCACTTGACTTGGCCCCCAGGACCAGTGTCACTTGGCTTGGCCCCCAGGACCAGTGTCACTTGGCTTGGCCCCCAGGACCAGTGTCACTTGACTTGGCCCCCAGGACCAGTGTCACTTGGCTTGGCCCCCAGGACCAGTGTCACTTGGCTTGGCCCCCAGGACCAGTGTCACTTGGCTTGGCCCCCAGGACCAGTGTCACTTGACTTGGCCACCAGGACCAGTGTCACTTGGCTTGGCCCCCAGGACCAGTGTCACTTGGCTTGGCCCCCAGGACCAGTGTCACTTGGCTTGGCCCCCAGGCCCAGTGTCACTTGGCTTGGCCCCCAGACCCAGTGGCACTTGGCTTGGCGTCCAGGACCAGTGTCAGTTGGCTTGGCCCCCAGGACCAGTGTCACTTGGCTTGGCCCTCAGGCCCAGTGCCACTTGGCTTGGCCCCCAGACCCAGTGTCACTTGGCTTGGCCTTCAAGCCACTCTTACTCCCCACTTACTGACGACTGTGACGATTACTGGCCTGAGATCACGCTGCACAGTAGCAAAGTGAAGTCCCTACCTACTGATGACTGACAACCAACTGACGCAGAACACGGTGCACAGTAGCTAATTACACATACCGACGACTGTGATCTCAGTTCAGAGTAGCCAAACTATCACCAACTCCTGTCACTTAACTATTATAATTATGAGGTACAGTATTATACTTGAAAAAATTACAAGAAAATTCTATGCATTAAGTTCAAGCAAGTTTATTTATAAAAAGAAATTAATATTTTTTTAAATATTTTTTTCAGTTTTTATGCAAAACTGTCAGGTGAATTTAGGTGATTTAAAAATTGCTTTAAAATGTATATCTTCTTTTATATATAATTTTACATTTTTATATTAATTAGTATTTTTGCTAAAAAATTATTGTAATTAAGAAAATTTTTATTTATTTGCTTGTCTTCCCTCACTCTTGAGGAAGACTATAGAGTTAATTTTTAATACAGATTTAAAGGGTGACTATAATATTGACAATATATTGTGTTGATTCATTGTTTCGAGAGAAGTGCGATGGTGGAAGATGACCATTTGTTGATGGGTCATGACTATAGGCGCACCCTTTCTCTCCTCTTCTAAACCTTCTTTCTCTTTATACACGACGACCACTAGGAAGCCTCGTGATGGTGCGAGTCACCAAACTCTTGTGGGTTGCAACCACACTGGCCTCAGAACATGGTACAATGTACCTAATGTTAGGACCCCAGGTAGCCTGAAGAACGAGTCTAACTGTCTTAGACTCCGCCTACTGGACCTGATTGAGAAGTTAGAGGAAGTGTAGATATATGAATGTATTCTAAATACATGACAAATGTCAGTGAATAATGTAAAAGCATGCGCAGAGGATGAACATGTAAATAAGTGACATGACATGAGATGTCGATACTTTGCTGACATGAAGTGAAACTCGCGGGACATCTTGACCATACTTGAGCAACAGAAGTTGAGAGGGAATGTCGCGTTCTGTTGAGCTCCTGGTAGAGGAGGACCACCTAGTTGTGTGCCCTTTCAAGAGGAGGAAATCAGGCAGGCGTTTATGTGGGAAGACTTAATGTACTCAAGTCAGGAGCAAAAGAGCTGTGCGGCAGTCTAAAAGAGACCTGGTTGGATGTCATAGGAGGACAACATCTAGGAGCAGAAGCTGATTGACCGCCCTCCAGATACAAATTCTGGAGTTTGTGAGGGAGAACTACAAAGTTTGTGTGGGAGAACCACAACGTTTGTGTGGGAGAACTACAAAGTTTGTGTGGGAGAACCACAACGTTTGTATGGGAAAACCACAACGTTTGTATGGGAAAGCTACAATGTTTGTGTGGTGGAAGTTAGTGAGAGAACTTCGTGCCAGAGGAGTACAAGCTATACTATTAGGTGAAGTAGGACTTCCAGTGAGAAGTGGAACTTCATGGACCTAATGAATCTTAGAGTTGTGTGGGGAGCTACACGTCGTTGGTGTAAAGTGTTTGGAGAGAGCTTCACTGGCATTTAAGGAGGACTACATTGCAAGTGATTGGTGGTGCTGCAGGAGTTCCTGACATATTCTGAGGACCCAGATGATGATTGTAGTGGGGGACCTCGAGTAATGGAGTAGACGACCATATGGACCTCGATATCTAAGGGAGTGCTTGCTTGTGTTTTTGGCGTGAAAGGCGCAATGTAAGGTGAGAGATTGTTGCTTTTGTAGAGTTGGAAATATATACATATTATATGTGTCATGTATTGCAGCCTAAAGCAGTGAAGGAAGCAGAAGGCTCTGGACTGAAGTCCGAGCAGCAGCCTGGTGCAGTTATAGGATGGAGACATAAGGTGACATTAGTGTGTTATCAGTTGGTAGTAGCCTAAGAGGTGATTGTACTGTTTTATAACCATTTCCTTTATGTGTATGTTTAAATGTATTAACTATTATGTTTGTTAGCTGGCTTTTGCTCTTTTCCTGGTGAGGCTTCCTGGCTAGAGAGAGAGAAAGAGAGAAAGACTCGGCTATAACATGGGTGATAGTGGACTATAACTGAGGAGGATTGAGAGATCATCCCACAGTAAGGAGAGTGCGGGGAGTCACGGCGGCACAAGAGGGGGTGTGTACACATGACAACTAGGCAGTGTGAGCCGTAACCCTGAACAAAGGTGACGCTGAACCCCTCTCCCAGAACCAGACGCTCACCAGGCAGCCCGTCCTCCAAACAAAGATCCGAAAGTGATTCCATGCAACTGCCAAACCCCCTGTTTATGAATGAAAAGCGGTTTACACACGACTCACAACTGCTGACGTTCGAACATATCCGGAACAAGTGCTTCACTGACGAATTTTCTTCGAATCACAACGTTATAAATGCTTCACCCACGTACTACAAATACAAATAATCGCCAACAGAACCTAAACACCTAACCTATCCTATACCTATATATACACAATATGCTAATATATTATAATATTAATTTATACTTGAGAAAATTTCCGTTTTGAATGAACAGCATGTTAAAATTTATGAATGCGTCTGTGGGGTTGACCGCTGGATGTAATGGACTTGAGTCGAGGACGGGTTGCACCAGGGTGATCTCTTAAATAATTACAAGAACTCCAGTGTTCATTGCTGGTCGACCGACGGTAGCAGGAGTGTGGCTACCGGCTGTTCGTCCTGTTAAGGAGTGGTTGGGGACCTCTGTTCAATGGTAAGCGAATATCAGGTTGGTTCATATAACCAAGTTTTAGTGCGGGAATAAAGAAACCTCTCCCGACTCCCCTCCACACCCCCTGATACTAAGTGATCCCCTACTTTCTTACGACTGTGACGACCAGTGGCCTCAGAACACGGTGCACAGTAGCTTAGTGATCCCCACTTACTGACGGCTGTGACGACTACTGTTGTAGTGAGGCACTAGGAAGCCTCGTGATGGTGCGAGTCATTAAACTCTTGTGGGTTGCAACCACACTGGTCTCAGAACACGGTACACAGTAGCTAAGTGATCCTTACTTACTGACGACTGTGACGACCATTGGCCTCAGAACACGGTGCACAGTAGGTAAGTGATCCCCTATGACTGTCGACTGTGATCTGAGAACACGTTCCACAGTAGCTAAGTGATCCCAACTTACTGACAACTGTGACGACCGCTGGCCTCAGAACATAGTACACAGTAGGTAAGTGATTCCCACTTACTGACGACCAGTGGACGTAGAACACGGTACACAGTAGCTAACTGATCCCAATTACAACTGTGACGACCACTGCCTCAGAACAAGGTGCACAGTAGCTAAGTGATCCCCCACTTACTGACAACTGGCCTCAGAACACGGTGACTGGCTGTGACGGATTCAGAGATTACATAACAGGAACTATAACAATGGGTGGACCTAAGATAATAGTGGCAGTCATTTACAACCCTCCCCTAAATGACAGAAGACCTAGACAGGAGTTTGATAGGAACAACATGGCAACCATTAATATAATAGAGAGAGCAGCTTCAGTTGCCTGCAGGAATGGCTCAAAACTCTTAATCATGGGTGATTTCAACCATGGAATGATAGACTGGGAGAATGGGGACCCACATGGTGGTGCAGATACGTGGCGAGCTAAACTCTTGGAAGTGGCAACAAGGAATTTTCTGAGCCAGCATGTCAAGGAACCCACAAGAATGAGAGGCAATGATGAACCAGCTAGACTCGACTTGATATTCACCCTGAATGAGTCAGAAATAAGGGAAGTCAAAGTTGAAGCCCCCATAGGAATGAGTGACCACAGTGTACTGACCTTTGAGTACTTGGTGGAGGTAGGGATAACCTATCCAAGGATGGGAGTAGAGGGGAAAAGACTGAATTACCGAAGAGGAAAATATGACGAGATGAGGAACTTCCTCAGGGGAATACCATGGGAAACAGAACTTAGAGACAAGAATGTGCAGGTCATGATGGATTTTGTCACCCAAAAGTGTCAGGAAGCTGCAGACAGGTTTATCCCCGTCCAAAAGGAGAAAAACGAAAAACAACAGAAAAACCCATGGTTCAACCAGGAATGTAAGGTAGCGAAACAACTGAGTAAAAGAACATGGAGAAACTACAGAAATAACAGAGCACCAGAGAGCAGGGAGAGATACCAGAGGGCCAGAAATATGTACATCAGAGTGAGGAGGGAAGCAGAGAGACAGTTTGAAAATGACATCGCAAGTAAAGCCAAGACCCAACCAAAGCTGCTCCACAGCCATATCAGGAGGAAAACAGCAGTGAAGGAACAAGTGATGAAGCTGCGGAAAGGGGAGAACAGATACACAGAGAATGACAAGGAGGTGTGTGAAGAACTCAACAACAGATTCCAGGAGGTCTTCACAATAGAACAAGGAGAAGCCCCTGCACTGAATGAGGAGGCGGCAAACCAAGCAACCTTGGAGGAATTTGACCTCACCAGTGATGAGGTCAAAAGGTGTCTGCTGGAGCTGGATGTGACAAAGGCTGTTGGGCCTGATAGAATCTCACCATGGATACTAAAGGAAGGTGAAGAAGCACTAAGTGTGCCACTCTCTATGGTGAATAACAGGTCACTGGAAACAGGAGACTTACCAGAAAGTTGGAAGACAGCTAACGTGGTCCCAATATACAAAAAGGGTGACAGGCAAGAGGCACTGAATTACAGGCCAGTTTCCTTAACTTGTATACCATGCAAGGTGCTGGAGAAGATCGTGAGGAAAAGGCTCGTAGAGCATCTGGAGGGAAATAACTTTGTAACGCACCACCAACATGGGTTTAGAGATGGTAAATCGTGCCTCACAGGTTTAATAGAATTTTATGACCAGGCAACGAAAATTAGGCAGGAAAGAGAAGGGTGGGCCGACTGCATTTTCCTGGATTGCCAAAAAGCCTTTGACACAGTACCCCATAAAAGGCTGTTAAAAAAGTTGGAGCAACAGGCAGGAGTAAAAGGGAAGGTGCTCCAGTGGATAAGGGAGTACTTAAGCAACAGGAAACAGCGAGTAACGGTGAGGGGGGAGACATCTGAGTGGCGAGATGTCACCAGCGGAGTCCCACAGGGCTCAGTACTTGAACCCATCCTGTTTCTAATATATGTGAACGATCTTCCAGAGGGTATAGACTCATTCCTCTCGATGTTTGCTGATGATGCAAAAATTATGAGTAGAATCAAGACGGATGAAGATAGACAGAGACTACAGGATGACCTGGATAAACTGGAGGAATGGTCTAGAAAATGGCTGCTAAAGTTCAACTCGGGAAAGTGTAAGGTGATGAAATTAGGCAAAGGGAGCAGGAGGTTGAACACAAGGTATCATCTGGGAGGGGAAATCCTGCAAGAGTCAAATAGAGAGAAGGATCTGGGGGTTGATATCACACCGAACCTGTCCCCAGAGGCCCACATCAAAATAATATCATCAGCGGCATATGCTAGACTGGCCAACGTAAGAACTGCCTTCAGAAACTTGTGTAAGGAATCTTTCAGAACCCTGTATACCACTTATGTAAGACCAATTCTGGAGTATGCAGCTCCAGCCTGGAGTCCATACCTAGTTAAACACAAGACAAAGTTAGAGAAGATTCAGCGGTATGCCACCAGGCTCGTCCCGGAACTGAGAGGATTGAGCTACGAGGAAAGGCTAAAGGAGCTGAACCTCACATCCCTGGAAAACAGAAGAGTAAGGGGAGACATGGTAACCACCTACAAAATTCTCAGGGGAATTGACAGGGTGGACAAAGACAAACTCTTCAGCACGGGTGGGACACGAACAAGGGGACACAGGTGGAAACTTAGTACCCAGATGAGCCACAGAGACGTTAGAAAGAATTTTTTCAGTGTCAGAGTAGTAAATAAATGGAATGCACTAGGAAGCAATGTGGTGGAGGCTGACTCCATACACAGTTTCAAATGTAGATATGATAGAGCCCAGTAGGCTCAGGAATCTATTCACCAGTTGATTGACAGTTGAGAGGCGGGACCAAAGAGCCAAAGCTCAACCCCCGCAAGCACAATTAGGTGAGTACGGTGCACAGTAGCTAAGTGATCCCCACTTAATGACGAATACTGAACTCAGAACGTGGTACACAGTAGCTAATTACACATAGCGACGACTGTGATCTTAGTTTAGAGTAGCCAAGCCATCACCAACTACTGACGAGCAATAATCAATTTCTGTATATAAGTTTGATAATTATAAAGTAATATCTATTATTTGTTTATATATTACTGTGTAAAGTCACTGAAAGCAAGTTTATTCATTAATGTTTTTTATTTTTCACAAAATATTTAGTAAAATTTTTATACAAAACTAACGATTGACTTCATTAAAAATTCTAATTGCTATAAGAAATGCAAATAACTTTATATATTTTGCCTAATATGTATACAAATTATAATTTTCTTAAGTATGTGTAATTAAGAAGATATTATTTTATTTAGCTGCTTGTTTTCCCACTCTCACAAGGTAGGCAGTAGTTTTGGGTTTTCATTAATTTTTTAAGGTTAACTATAATATTACCAAAATATTGTGCTCATTCATTGTTTCGAGAGAAGTGCGATGGTGGAAGATGACCATTTGTTGATGGGTCATGACTATAGGCGCACCCTTTCTCTCCTCTTCTAAACCTTCTTTCTCTTTATACACGACGACCACTAGGAAGCCTCGTGATGGTGCGAGTCACCAAACTCTTGTGGGTTGCAACCACACTGGCCTCAGAACATGGTACAATGTAGCTAATGTTAGGACCCCAGGTAGCCTGAAGAACGAGTCTAACTGTCTTAGAGTTATTCCGCCTACTGAACCTGATTGAGAAGTTAGAGGAAGTGTAAATATATGAATATATTCTA